TACCTCCCGCTCAACGGCACGCGGCTGCAGAAGGAGGCGGCGAAGACCCTGCTGTCCCTGCATGTACAGTATCTCCAGCGCCGGGGTCGGGGCGCAGGACCCCCAAAGGGAGTTAGGGACGGGCTGGTGCTGCGGTTCGGTGTTTTGCATCTCCCTGGACCATCATGTCTGAGCTGTGATGGTTTGCGGGGGGTCACCTCTTGAAGGTTGATGGTGGTTTGTGAGCACGTTGGCTGTGGCAGCTGCCTTGTCGCTGAGCCGGAGGAGGAGTGTGCTCACCTCTTCCTCCCGCCGTCCCCCCAGCAGAGAGGAAGGGCACAGCGGGCAAATGGAAGGACACGAGCGCTCCCTGAGCTCCCCTGGCCATGGGCCCTGGGCTACCAACTTGCACATCTCTATTGCAAACTTGCCTTTTCCCTTCCTCGGACTCCTCTTGGAGCGTGGCCATGTGCATCTCCAGCCAGGCCAGACTGAGGGAGAGGAACGCTAAAAGCTGGGCCACGACCCTCCCTGCACCCCGGGGAACTGAAACACCTTGCCAAATATTCCCTTTCCCCATCCTGAAGGTCATTCCTCGGGCTGGCTTCGCTGTTGGAGCAGTCTCTCCTTGAGCCGAAGGGTTTCAAAGCCATCTGGACGTGGGTGTGTGCCTGCGCCAGCTGGCCCAAAAGCCTCTGCTGCAGGAGTCAGCTGCGGGTGTGCAGTAGCCCATCGGTGTTGGGTTTTGCAGGAGAAAAGGGATTTGATCATTGTTGCCCATTGCTGCACCTCGCAGAGTGCCCTGGGCAGCTCCCGGTGCCGGCTGGCGCGATAAGGGTGCTCGTCAAACCTCCTGGCCATGGCCCAGGCAGGATTTCACCCTGTGTCCTTCTCCCAACCCTGGCAGGGCTCCATCGTGGTGGGGATCGACTATGATTGCCGGGAGAAGACGATCTATTGGACCGATGTGGCCGGCCGGACCATAAGCCGAGCGAGTCTGGAGCCAGGCGCTGAGCCGGAGACCATTATCAACTCAGGTGTGCTGTCATCACCAGTGACATCTGCCCGAAGCCACATCAGCAGGTCCACGCCAGTTTGTGCCCATGGCAGCTCTGGGGCTGTCCTGTTTTGGGGTCTTCCACGCTCAGGCCCCTCGGCTGTGGGTCAGGCGGGTCGGGGCACCGTGAC